GGGATGCGGGATGAGGGATGCAGGATGAAGGATGAGGGATGAGGGATGAGGGTTGAGGGATGAGGGATGAGGGATGCGGGATGCGGGATGAGGGATGAGGGATGCGGGATGCGGGATGAGGGATGCTGGATGAAGGATGAGGGATGAGGGTTGAGGGATGAGGGATGCGGGATGACGGATGAGGGATGCAGGTCTGGGGATGTGGGATGGGGATGCGGGATGGGGGATGCGGGTGGAGGTGGAGGACGCCACCCATGGGCTGCGGGAGGAAGGGGAGGCTGGGGGGCACCTCCACCGGCACAGTGGAGGATGCGGGACTGGAGGATGCAGGACGTGGGGGCGGATGGAGTCGGCCCGTGGCTGCCTCACACCCACGCTGGGCTCCGCCGGGGAGCCGTGGCGGGATCCGGCCGGGGGAGAGCCCCGGGGGGATGGGTGGGTTTGGGGGTGCTGAGCCCCGTCCCTGCCCATCCTGCGCCCTTCGCAAAGCGAGCAGCCCCCACGCCATCGCCCCCCCACCCGCCCGGGGGCACCAGCACCCAAAAAACAGTGCTCGCCCTGCCCGGGGACCCTCGGTGGTGGGGCAAAACCCAGCGGGGGGAGGCCCAAACCCTTCCCGACAGCGAAGCTCTGCCCCGTGGGGTGCCGAAAATGGGGCTCAGGCAGCGGGACGGGGAAGGGTGGGATGTAGGAAACCTTCCCGGAGGGTCCGGAGCCCTCTGCTGTCGCCATCTCCCCTCCGGGAGACATCCCCGGGAGTCTCCCGCTCCCCTCCCGAGGCAGCGGCCGGCACAGCGGGTCTCTTTCGTAATGAAATAATTTATTTTCTAACAGTCAAACAATACAGAAGTATTCATATACACGGCAAAGGTCTTCTAAAACACGTAGTTTCTAAAAAGGCGTGTGCTAACTGTAATAAAAAGCACCATTAGATGGTCTTGACACAGGATTCCGAATGACGACGTATTTACAGCAGGAACCGAACGGGGGGATAAACGGAATCGGGATTCTCCCATCTGCCGCTCCCCCGCTCTCGACTGCCCAAAATAAACGGCGATGCTGTACAGGTTCGCTTCTCGGGAAGCAAAAAGAGAGAAGAGAGAACCCCAAAACCAAAGGAAAAAAAAAATAATGGAAAAGCGCAAATAAAACGTGTGGGGGAAAAAAAAATAAAAAAGAAAACCCCCAATGCCCAGATGGGTTCTGGTTGTGAGGTTTCGGGACGGCTCACGTACCGCTCCGCCGCATAAATGAAAAGGGTGAAAGAAAAGTGGGGGTTTCAGCTGACGCCGCAGCGGAACGAGAGGACGTGTGACACTTCCCGGGGAGCAAAGCGGAGGCGGACGATGCCCCGACGCGGCGGTGGGGGACACACACACATAAACGTGAGCAAAGCGCCGGGGCAGCGCCGGGCTCCAGAGGTTTTTTTTGGGGATAGAACC